CATAATTATCTCGTTATTTTTTATTTTTATTTTTTATTTATTATTTTTTGTTTTGTTTTTTTTTTTTTTGGGGGGGGGGGCACTTATTTATTTGGTTTCATTTACTTGTCAAGATGTTTCTCTACACATGGGTCTATGGCAGGATAGTGTACTATATGCAATTACTGTAGTAAATGGGTTGGAAAAATTGACTTGGGAATGGCAATAAGATGAAAAGAAGTCATATTTACAAAAATGATAAAAATATGTACATTAATTTATATACATAGAAAAAATGTCAATCATTATGATCATCAATCATTTTAAAATATGATGGATTTCTCACCCCTGACTGCTAATAAAAAACAGTTCTTAACAAAATAGATGTATAATTTGAAAGATATACTAGATCTTTCATTTCGGTAGGGGTATCTTTGTTTACATCCAGTTCCATCCAATTGAATTTTGATCCCCCCTTGAAGCCCTTAAAATATGAAATATTTTTCCACGTCGAAAGTAGAAGAGGGTGTACAGTATTCCTACTAATTAAAATGTGTTGGAATGATTGAAACTATTCAAAAGGGGTCTTATTTTTTTACTCATGTTTGAAAAAGATCAAAATTGTTGTATTCATTGTTGAAAAAGGGGCCCCTGATAGCAGTTATGTCACATCATCCTTTGAAGCACGTATTTTTTGCTATGTGCTCAATGGTTAATTATAAATGTAATATGTTGATTAGGATCCCTTTGAAGTAAATGCTGTGTGATAATATATCTTTGCATTCAATGAAGTTCAATTTCAGACAGGTAATCTCTCTGTTAAACTCTATTTTATGTTTATGCAGAGGTGAAGGGGAGGGGGTTGTCTCATTTTCTCATAGAAATATTAAAACATATTAGAGGTAGTTGATGGTTTCAATAGTTGCCTCTAAGAAGGAGTTGCGATTGTGCAAACACCTTTTTTTTTTTTTCAAAATAACTAATCCCTATGACCCTCATCAGGGTTCACAAATGTGCATAGCAATGGCCAACCATTAATTTTTTCTGAAACCCTTTTTTGCTGATAGATAAGCTAAGAATTATGGCAATTATTCAAAAGTTACTCCATCAAGACTTCGTACAATGGACAATATGTTTCTATGCTAAATAATCAGCATTGTGGTAGTCATCAGGAAAAAAATATAAACGCAGCAGTTGTAGCACAGATATGACATACATGCAGTGTTTCATGTACATTTGGATCAAACTTTGCATTTCGTAGACATGTTAGAACTAAATGTTAAAATTTATCTAGCAAAATATTAGCAGTATTGTCATTATATTATTCAGCCATGTTTCTGAGGGCAATAAGCATCATACTACATGTATCATTAATCAATTTGCTGGAACCCTAAGGGACTGAGAAAAGAGATATAAAAGTATTCAAATATTTAGAGGGTAAAATAACAAGTGTTTGGAATTTCCAGATCACTTTGACATATCCATGGTATTTAAAAGATAGCAATGTCGGTAATATTGGAAGGTCAGCTAAATACATTTCATATGAAGTGGATAATAATTCAGTTGATTAGTCGCATACATAAACTTAATTACTTACTTATCCTCTCCAAGCCCTGGAGGATGCATGGGGCCCTACATATGTAAACAACTGACTAAATAGATAAGATTACTATGAAAGTGATGGACATTTAAACCATGGCAAAGATTTTAAGCATTTTTAGACAAATTGATATTAAGATTTCAGTGCATTTTGGGGGGTATTTCTTGTAATTTTTGTATATACCAATATATATATATATATATTCTGAAAGCAGGTAGTGTGGTGTTTCTGAAATGATTATAAAAATTTCATTTCAGTATCCATGGCAACAAAATACACCATAATCATGCTGGAATTTCCATTTATTAAACAATGATTTTCATTCTAGTTTTTTGCATAGTTAAATATAAAAAAAAATATTGTATTGTTTTGGAAATTGAAAATTATGAACATTTTGTACAATTTTAAGTATTTTGGGGGGATTGGGTAGGGTTGGGATGTAAACACGTACCAGAATTTAGCATTTTTACATATAATGTGTTACCCCCACATTGATTTCGAGAATGGCAAAAATCGCTCAAATAGTGATCAAAGTTTTACTCAAACTAGCAAAAAACTGGTACAACCAATTAAAATATTTTTTGTATAATATTTTCCCATATTTATTTTCTCTTTCCATCGGTGCAAGATTTATTCTGATATGTCTATTATTAACAAAGTTATGAATGTTTTTTCACACTATACTTGTTTTTCAAGTCAAAGGCATAGAAATGTGTATATGCCATGTAAGGGGTTAAACCATCCTGCTCTCATTCTCTGTACCCCCCCCCCCCCCCCCTAAAAACTAAATATATAATATTCCACAATGATATTATCTTAAAATGTGAATGATGGTGAAAACATATATAAACATGTATCAATTTGTTGAAAACACATATAAACTTATCAATTTGATGACCACCCATGCACCTTTCGTTCTGGAGAATCTTCCAGTGAATAATTCATTGATTCTGTATAACCATTTATTTTTACCACTCCCCCTATGGTGCTCTGACAGCTATTTCCAGTATTTGTTTCCAATACTCCTTTGCCCTTTGGCCACCATTTATTGGTGAGGAGTTTGATTAAACCAGCAACAAACTGATACAGCTTTATATACGGTGTGGCAAGACACTATAAGACTTGAGCCAGCTTTGTGGAGGGCTAATGTATTGAACATTTTATCACGTCTGCAATATGATGCTTAATGGAAGCTTGGAATTCATTTCCTTGAGGTTAAGGTAATATTGTCGTGAAGCCCCTGAAGTGTTATGTCTGACAATTTTGATTGCTCAGAAAGAACACACATCCTTAGATTTTAATAAGGCTCTTCTTGACAACCATCCTTTTTTCCCCTCTCATTATTATCTGAGATGTCAATATACATTTGAAACTGAACAATTTTCAATTGCTTAATTTCAGAAAATTCAATACCATATAAGTAGAGTTTTTAGCGAGTTTTTGATTTTGGCATTATTAGCGAAGGAGCCATTGCCCAAGATCGCTAAAATTAAATATCGCTAAAAATTCATTGCGTTTTATTTGTAATAGCTTCTTTAATGTCCATTTTAAAATCGCTAAAATAACATCTATTACAGTGTACCAGTTTTTTAATTTTTAAGGACAAATCGCTAAATTTGCGTCTCGCTAAAATTTCCACTTATACGGTATTCTGGGCAGAATTTGTCATTTTTGTGAGAAAGAATGCAGTGCTGCATCCTTTTTAAGCATTTTATTATAATTAATTAAGATAATACATTTAAAATCTAATTTCTTTTTCTAATTAATCAGTTGATGAGATGCCATTAATTTACACATTTAGCTTGGCGTTCATCTAGCTATGAGGAAATCTCTGACTGTTCACCGCTTTCTTCATGCGCCAAATAATACAGTACTCAAACCAAAACCTTCATGTATCTGGCGTAGGAATACCCCGGCATATATGCCAATTTTTGCGTTTTTTCCATAAATTGCTTGAAAATCATACAATTTCAACAGTCCTATACATAGTTGCGAACTCACCCACTTTCGTTGGGTTACTTTTCAACCCTTAACTTGATTATTCTTTATGACACGGCGGGTCATGCTTACCGCCCAAATCCCCGATTTCCGGATTTGGTTCGTAAATTAGGTTGTACTTTTAACTTCCAGTTACAACCCAAGCTTGATCTACGTAAATAATGACAATGGCTATGTGCAGTCAGCGAGTAAATTATCAGTGCAGGTGTAAACAGTTAAATGGGATTGTTTTGACAAATCAAATTTTAAAATAGCTTCCGATAGACAGTCTAGACGAACTCCAAAAACGGCGTGAACTCCAAAAAAGAAGTCTTTGGCTCCGTCATACATTGCGGCAATATGGCTTCCGATGTAAACAAACGATGGATTGTCGTTCGCATTGAAACCAATAGTTATTTAAGCAATGAATTACAAATACGACTGAATAATGGCTGTATTTAGAGATAAACTTGTTTTGTGTGCATTAAAACTGGATTTCAATTTTTGTTAAATAAATAATTGTACCCATTAAATTATTAAGTGGTTATTGACTTATTTATCGCTCTGTATTCTTGCATAATAGTGATTTGGGATATACGTAAACGGGATTCAATAAAGTCGGTAAGAATTAATTTTCTAACTTAATTTATTGTCCCCTTGATTTAAATTTTATGCCATTCCTACTATAAAGATGCTTAAATTTTACTTCTAAGACATTTATATATCGTTTTTTTTTTATGAAAAACCGCACAATTTTCGGCGTAATAAAAAGATTTTAACATATTTCGATTTGAGAAGATTTTTTAACCGTAATTTTAAAAGAATGATTTTTTTTAAGTTCTTAAACTCATAGATTATAATTCTAAAATTGTTTTCATGATTATATCTTTTTATATAATGAAAACATTAGGTATATAGCGATGGTGATAACTAACGCTCTCAATATTCAGATTTTTTGTCATATTGTCATTGTATTGCAATATAGGATTATATGACGAAATAATATTACAAATAGGTAAAAATTCGGTCAATGTTTAACAGTTACAACATATATATTACATTATTCAATTTAAAAAAAATTTTCCCTTTTATTATATATTTAATTCCCAAACGTTTATTTTTCTTTGTATTTGATCTAACTTGAAACGTGAACTTTCTTCTAAAAAGCCTCGGAGGAAATGTGGAAACTGAATGGATTTTCATGTAACTGTCACCTGATCGACTCTTATTTATGATTAAAACCATCAATTCAGTACTTTTTTAATTATTGATAAGATGTATTTACAATGCAGTTGCTCATTGCTGATCTAAACATGCTGAAATTCATTCGTACATGATAGACATGAAAAACAGAGGAACTGTGTGTTCGAACTGAAAATTCGCCAGCGTTCCTTACTTACAAAATAAACTTCTAAAATCAGTAAAAGTAGTTCTAAAATGACTAACTTAGTCACTACAAACAAATTATCAACCACAGAGATGTTTTCATAAGATAACGACTGTTTAATTTGTATTTTGTATCCTACTTGTACGATGTCTGGCTGAACCTCGAAGTTGGTCAAATTTGACTTGAAATTAAAAACTATTTGCACATGAAATCAAAATTCTAACAAATACGTTCTCTAAAACCATTTATTATTAATCATTTCTGAGAACTTACATTATTGTAAGGTAATCCAATTTTTTGCAAAAAACACTTTTTATAAGAGCCCACTTTTCACGATTTTTCACCGTTTTTTATATAACTGCGCATGCGTTGGACTCGTTTTTTGGAGTCTTTTCCAGTTACAACCCAAGCTTGACTGAAATAATCAATGGCTATGTGCTTCCGTTAACGCCGTTTAAATGGGATTGTTTTGACAAATCAAATTTTAAAATAGCTTCCGATAGAACGAGATTGTTATCAGGACCAGCAGGAACAAATTAAACAAAGAGAAAGAGAAACAATATTTATGTACATGTCAACTTTGAAACAACTTTCATTACATAAAATAAAGTGATCGAAGACAGTGTAGGTCTTACTTTACATTTAGTATGCATTGCACTACTTAATTAAATTAATTAGGCCTAAGAAAGAGGAAAAGTAATTTCAAATCTCCTAAAATTGGAATTAATTTCAAATTTAGCACCAGGGACCTATATATACTAACATCTGCACAATTCACAATATAAATTAAAGCAGGGGTTAGAGTCAGAGGAATCTCTGATTAATGAGTTTAATGTTTTTATTTCATAAATGCTTAAATCGGGGTATTTTATCTACATGTACAACTAAGCTATATAATTTTGTAGACATATGCATACTTTTAAACATGCTTTGAAATCCAATAATTTCACAGTATCACTGCCACATCTAAAGCACGGTGCCATTTTGGCCCTTCAGGCCTTTGATTTTACAAATGATCAAAGTTTTTTTTCCCGTTCAATTGACTGTAGGTGTCAAAATTTCTAAATGCTTATTTGCTAGCTGCAGTGTTACAAAACAAGTATAATATTTGATGAAGCATTTCAATTTATTTCTGGTTCATGTTTCTGCATGCAAAAATGCTCACTGTTGACTAGAGTGTTCTTTGTTCAAGATTTTTTCACATATACATAATCTTAATTTTTGATAAATTACATTTTTTTTTTGTGTAACTAAAAACAAACTGTAAATAATCAATCCTGCTCTGACATCTTTAACCCAGGTTGGGACTGAAGAATAAACTTCAGATACATGTATCACAGTATTCAAAATTCCTGAGGTAAAAACACTAAAATGCATAATTATTTTGGAATCCAACTCACTTTTAACAATTAACATATTATACATTTTTTATCTATTTAAGGAATATATTTCATGTATTTAGTAGTGACCTGTTAATAATCTCTTGGTCTTCCATGCATGCTCTGGTTAGTAGTAATTTTTAATAAATATAAGTTTAAGCATATACTTTGGCAAAAGGTGTGGTTCTGGGTAGATATTGTGCATACAACTAAAACATGCCTTAAACATGTAGTCCTAGAATATTTGGGAGAAAAAATAAATTTATATTGTTTTAGCATAAAACTTTTTAAGGCATGTTTGAAAATTAACATGCCTCTATTTCTTTTTTCTTTTTAAACAACTGCTAAATGTTATATGCAAGATATCAATAAATGATCCTCTCCATATTGTCATACATGTACATGAAAATGCATATATAGAGCAAATAACATTATACAGTTATAAATCAAAAGTTGATGCCACATTTGTACCATTCCGTGTACATGTACAGTACTGAATGTACACATACTCGTATATTTATACTATGACTTTATTGATTTGATGAAACTTGATTTTTTTATAAAATGTCCATTGAATTATACTTACACATATTGATTGGAATTTCTATTTTTTTTTTATTTCAGACTTTGAAGTGACCATGGAGGACATTGGTCCCCCTAATGGTTCCCCCGCCCACTCAGGTTCCCATGGCAACCTGGCTTCTGTGGCAGACTATGACTACCTCATCAAATTCTTGGCTCTAGGTAACAAAACATATAGCTACCTACATATTATAATGTCTTTATTGGAATTTCTTTTTTTTCAAATTTTATATTGTTGGACATATATATCAGTATTTGTTACTGTCAGGGCTTTAAGGAGTAGACTCTGAGCTCTTTTTTTTTAAGTTGAGCGTTTCTTAAGGATCTAATTTTGAAACCTTTCAGTTTGATATATTGCCAATGGATGTTTTCTTGAAAACCAAATCTTAAAACAAATAGGAACAGAGATATTCTTGCCCGAACAGTGTTTTGTACCCTCCTTCAAAATGAGTATTTCTTCAATACCAGATTATGACTGAAATCCTGAATTTCAAAAAATTGGATTGGTATTTTCTTTAGACTCTGACTGTTATACCCTTCTCAAACAGAATTTATTTTCCTTACTAGATATAAAATCAGTCTGTATTGGTATGTTGGCTTATGAATGATTATTAGAAACAGTTTGTTCCAGACCTTTGATTTATGGTGATAGGAAGAACAGAGACTAATAAGGCTGGAGCTAAAAGTCATTGGAAACTCCCACCACCCCCAAGAGTTTAAAAAGAGTTGATGAATTTTAGCAATATCCTATTTTGCATCTCTTTCTTCAACGCCATACAAAGTACTCTTTCACTTTAATGGAGAACACAATTGAATTTTTTTCTTCTTTTTCATCATTATCCACCAGAATTGGTGAATATAAAGTGACTCTGAGATCAATAGCAAAGATTTAGCTGAGATTAACATGGGCCTTTATCACGAAACAACCAGTGTCGCAGAAAATGAATCTGAGTTTACTTGCGTGGATGAAAAGAGATAACAAGCATAGCACTAATAGAGTCGCGGAGAGATCTTACGGTTAGAAAGTGTATCAAGAAAGCTGATATATTGGAAAGAGATTGTTTCTTTTCTGTGTGTTCTGTGCAGCACTATTTAGTAATGTGTAATGTAGTTTTCTTTGAAGGTTCATATTATTCTACAATTACAGGTTCTCTGCACTCAGAAATAGACCTTGTCACCTCCTGTATCAAAGCAGTTTTCTCTTACTTTTAATTTCACTACAGTTGCATTTGTTTTTCAGATGCATTCTCAAAGAGGTTATAACATGGTTTGAGTGTCCTAGTTATGATAAAATGAAATCATAATCAGGCCTCTTTTTTTCTCAAAAAATGAACAATGTGACAATCAGAGATACATATATTCTTTAACCTCCAGTATCAAAAAACATTCTCTCTATCTTCCAATTTCATTGTCATTGTATATGTCAATTTTTCTTTAAATAAAAAATACAGAATGCACAGGAATACTTCAATGAAATAAATACATTTACATTTTCTAAAATTGTTTGAGATATTCAGTCAAAGTCACAATTGGTTTTCAGCTATTGATTTTTATATGACCTGTCATAGCTGAAAAGTGATTTGTCTAAATGGTCATTCCTTGCTTGGTCAACTTAACATTAAGGGACAATATCCAAGTACATATATGATGAATGTGTGATAAAAGGTACCTTCACTTGAACCCATTTCAGTTCAGTAAATCCTATTAACACTTAATAGAACTATGCATTGATTGCAATAAAGGGTTGGAGTTTCACTTTGGTTGAATGTTCCCAATCTTTATGAAGTGTACGGTGTACGCATGGAATTAGATGCTATATTTTATAAAGTCTTTGCCAATATGTTTACAGGTGATTCGGGAGTAGGAAAGACAAGCTTTTTATACCAATATACAGACAGACAGTTTCATGCAAAGTTTATATCAACTGTGGGGATTGATTTTCGAGAAAAAAGAGTGGTAATTCCTTCAGAACCATTTTTTGCCAGATATTGTACATGTAAATGTTGCATGACTGTCTTTGTATATATGTGTGTGTGTGTGTTTAAGCCTGTCAAGTTGATGCATGAAACTTGCCAAAAGCCTTATTTTAGGAGACCACCTTGGAAACGAAGACATGCATAACTCTTGCAGATATATATAGATGTGACAAAATAAATAAGTGATGTTATCTATGTCGTATCTTTTATATCAAAGGGAAATTCCTAAAATTTATTTTCAATTTCCGGCGAAAAAGTACAAAGTTTCACACAAATAATTTTTTAACATTGATCCCCTCATAATACATTTTGTCTATGATGGAAATATAAAATAAAAGTAGTAATTCTAAAGATATAGGCCGGTCTAAAAATTGTTTTTATCATAGGTACAGTAAAACAGACATAAGGTACGTGAAAAATGGGACAATTTATGCAAGTAATGCTTATGAGTATTGACTTAACAATACACATGTTTAATTTCAATCTTGTTTCAGTTGACAAAAATTGAATCATTTTGATCTCATATACCGGTATTCAAAACAGATCATGTTTTGTCCATACAATTATTTATCTAAAGATTTGGTGATTATTACCTATTAAAACCAACAGGAAAATTGATGATAAAAGAAACACTATCTAATGGATCTGTCGGAACAATATCATTGAATGTTTTATATTGTACAGAAATATCAATGAATGTCCATCTCATTTCAAAATTGTTCTCTCAGGCAATGGTCTCATTTTATGAATCAATAGACAGCTGTCTTTTTCAAAACTATTATAACTATTATAACACGAATTATTATTGATTAATAGACGAGCAGATTTCAACATGGAAAGTCACATTTATGATTGACGTAACAATTTAGGGAGTGTAAATATGCATTTATATAGCTATTGAATATATTTTCTATTATACAAGCTTTAAATGTTGTATTAAGCAGATTTTGATGTAGTTAATCACTTGTGTTTAAAAGTTCCCTTTCTTACCCCCACATCTTAGCTTGTAGAAATGTCTGTATGAAAAAGTTTTTGAACAGAAGACAAAACGTGCTTATGCTCTGATATTAATAATTTTTTATTTCATCATGTTCATTCAAACTCTTTTATTTTCAGCACAAAAGTCTTTATTTAATTTATCAAAATATTTATGTGAAAACTTTCTTTAAATAGAATACCTATTTAAATTTAGATAAAAAAGATAAAACTAGCATCAGTTCAAAATATAAATACAAAATAAGTTTTGAACTAATTTGACCAGTAAACAACATTCTGACATATCACCTTCAGTTAAATTTTTTTCTCATTATTTTATAAAGTTTAACGTAATTCTTTGTATTCATTCAGTTCAAAGCAATAATTATTGCTAAATATGATACTGGTAAGTGTTAGTTCATATTAATCGTCTTATTTATAACCGCATTTCACTATCATAATTATACCCCCCGCAAACGAAGTTTGGGGGGGTACATAGGAATCACCTTGTCCGTCTGTCCGTCTGTCCGTCCGTCCGTCCAGCTGTCTGGCCGTCTGTCTGTGCAATTGTGTCCAGTCCATATCTTTTTTACAGAGGGACATTAGAATCTACTACTCCACACTAAGATTGCTCATGACCTAAGGGTGTGTCATGACCTTGACCCAAGGTCATTTGGGGAAGTTCAAGGTCACTGGAAGAAAAATTTCATAATTCGTGTCCGGTCCATATCTTTCTTATTGATAAACATGGTAGGTTTTCATTTCACACAAAGATTGCCCATGACCCAAGGGTGTGTCATGACCTTGACCCAAGATCATTTGGGGAAGTTCAAGGTCACTGGAAGAAAATTTTCAAAAATCATGTTTGATACATATCTTTTATGGATAAACTTGGTAGGTTCTCATTTCACACAAAGATTGCCCATGACCCAAGGGTGTGTCATGACCTTGACCCAAGGTCATTTTGGAAAGTTCAAGGTCACTGGAAGAAAATTTTCATAATTCCTGTCCGGTCCATATCTTTCTTATGGATAAACTTGGTAGGGTTTTATTTCACACAAAGATTGCCCATGACCCAAGGGTGTGTCATGACCTTGACCCAAGGTCATTTGGGGAACTTCAAGGTCACTGGAAGAAAAATATCATAATTTGTGTCCGGTCCATATCTTTCTTATGGATAAACTTGGTAGATTCTCATTTCACACAAAGATTGCCCATGACCCAAGGGTGTGTCATGACCTTGACCCAAGGTCATTTGGGGAACTTCAAGGTCATTGGAAGAAAAATATCATAATTTGTGTCCGGTCCATATCTTTCTTATGGATAAACTTGGTAGATTCTCATTTCACACAAAGATTGCTCATGATCTAAGGGTGTGTCATGACCTTGACACAAGGTCATTTGGGGAAGTTCAAGGTCACTGGAAGAACCAGAAGTCTCTGTCGAGACTGAAGCTCTACTGGTTTGTACTTATAGCAAAGGAAGAGAAAAGTACTTCAGCAGTTGGGAATTGAAACTTAACAACAGCAATAGATAGAATAATGATCCTTGATAAAGTCTCTTTATGTTCTTAGTGTAGTTTACAAGTTCGGGAAGTTATATTGAAATCAGACCAAAACTGTAGGAGGAGTAGCATTTTAAAGGAATTTCACAGAAATTTCTATTTCTATTTTTCTATTTCAAAATTTCTATTTTTGATTACCACGGCAAAACCGTTTATTGAAATCAAAAGCTGATAAACAGAATTATGTATCTTAGTGTAGTCTACTTGTGTGCCAAGTTATATTGAAATCAGACCAAAACTGTAGGAGGAGTAGCATTTTCAAAGAATTTCACAGAAATGTCTAATTTTAGTAACCACAGCAACAACGTTCATCGAAATCAAAAACAGATATAGAAAATTATGTATCTTAGTGTAGTCTACTTGTGTGCCAAGTTATATTGAAATCAGACCAAAACTGTATGTGGAGTAGCAATTTAAAGGAATTTCACAGAAAATTCTATTTTTAGTAACCAGGGCAACAACGTTCATCGAAATCAAAAACCGATACACAGAATTTTGAATCTTAGTGTAGTCTGCTAGTGTGCCAAGTTATATTGAAATCAGACCAAAACTGTAGGAGGAGTAGCATTTTAAAGGAATTTCACAGAAATTTCTATTTTTAGTTACCACGGCAACAACGTTCATCGAAATGAAAAACTGATAAACAGAATTATGTATCTTAGTGTAGTCTTCTTGTGTGCCAGGTTATATTGAAATCAGACCAATACTGTAGGAGGAGTAGCATTTTGAAAGAATTTCACAGAAATTTCTATTTTTAGTAACCACGGCAACACTGTTTATCGAAATCAAAAACCGATACAGAGAATTATGTATCTTAGTGTAGTCTACTTGTGTGCTAAGTTATATTGAAATCAGACCAAAACTGTAGGAGGAGTAGCATTTTAAAGGAATTTCATAGAAATTTCTATTTTTAGTAACCATGGCAACAACGTTCATCGAAATCAAAAACCGATACACAGAATTAAGTATCTTAGTGTTGTTTACTTGTGTGCCAAGTTAAATTGAAATCAGACCAAAACTGTAGGAGGAGTAGCATTTTAAAGGAATTTCACAGAAATTTCTATTTTTAGTTACCACGGCAACACCATTTATCAAAATCAAAAACCATTACACAGAAATATGTATCTTAGTGTAGTCTACTTGTGTGCCAAGTTATATTGAAATCAGACCAAAACTGTAGGAGGAGTAGCATTTTGAAAGAATTTCACAGAAATTTCTATTTTTAGTAACCACGGCAACAACGTTCATCGAAATCAAAAACCGATATACAGAATTATGTATCTTAGTGTAGTCTACTTGTGTGCCAAGTTATATTGAAATCAGACCAAAACTGTAGGAGGAGTAGCATTTTAAAGAAATTTCACAGAAATTTCTATTTTTAGTTACCACGGCAACACCGTTAATCAAAATCAAAAACCGATACACAGAATTATGTATCTTAGTGTAGTCTACTTGTGTGCCAAGTTATATTGAAATCAGATCAAAACTGTAAAAGGAGTAGCATTTTGAAAAATTGTTTACAGACAGACGGACAGACAGACAGCTAGACAGACGGACGGACGCCGGACGCATTACTATCGCATAAGCTCTTCTGGTCTCTCACCAGTAGAGCTAAAAATTTCATAATTCAAGTCAGGTCCATATCTTTCTTATGGATAAACTAGGTAGGTTCTCATTTCACTGAAAGATTACCCATGACCCAAGGGTGTGTCATGACCTTGACCCAAGGTTATTTGGGGAAGTTCAAGGTCACTGGAATAAAAATTTCATAATTCGTGTTTGATACATATCTTTATTATGGAAAAACTTTCTTCTGAAAAACCCAGCGGGGGGTATTTTGTCCCGTTTGGACAGTTCTAGTTTTGAACTGGTAAACATGATAAATGTCAAACAATACAATCTATCTAACAGATAAACATGATCACAAGGTCTTAAATTTTGCATAAGGAAGGATACTAATGCTGCACTTGTATGCAGTAAGATTTCACAGTGGAAAGAACTTGGCTTACAATTTTTTGGAAAACAAATAAAGCTTAAAAATCTCCCCATGAACAGGTGGCGGATTAGACAGTTTTCACTGTTCCTTGCCAGACAAATAATATTTCTCATAAGTATGGTTCAATCTAAATGCAAAAAAGCCATGCAATTGATTTGATTTTTTTCCTTGTATTTGATGAACTTATATCCATGCAATCGCAATACAAATGTTATTTACCCACAGATATTTACATTACCTGAAAGTCTTTGTCCGAGATAAAATTACATATAGTAAAATTACTTTATTTTTACATTAATCTACTGGTTCATCAATAGACGCGACAAAAATCACGTGCAGGGTGGGACAAATAGAGACAGAAGTGGGGCTTATACGTGTAGCACGTGAGTTTGCGGAATCAAAAGTATGTAAACATATGGATAAACTGTCAGAATATTTGGTTTCATGACGATGATCAATCAACTGGCTTGCATGAGGAATTTATGCATAAACGCCATTTATGCAAATAATCATGCAAGCCACTCAATTCATCACACCGTGAAACCAAAAATTAGACAGTTATTTCAAAGTGCATTGCTGAATACATGTACATTGTAATGTGACTTCCAGTCAAGTTTAAGATAGCATGAAACAATGAAAACAATCCGGAAAACACAATCAGCTGGTACTGTATATTTCAATGTTGTATATTTCTTCCTCACAGGTGATTCGGCAGTGGGGAAAACCTGTTTTCTACATCAGTATATTGACAAGGAATTCAAACATAGCTTTGCTTCTACAGTAGGGGTGGACTTTCGGGAAAAAAGACTGGTACATTTGTACATACATACATATCTATGTATTAATGTAAATTATAGCCATAGAATAACCATTAATCTGTTAGCTTTTTACTACTGTGTCTAACTAGCAAACTTACTAACAAAAACTAACCTAAAGAAACTTAGCAGAATATGCCATGGAAGACAAATATTTATTTCAATAAAGCAAAAATATATACTATCAATTGCCCCCCCCCCCCCATCTACTCCCGTAGGGCTTTGCCGTTTCGATTTTCATATTAGGATTGCGCTTAATTTTGCCCTTTTTTGTGAATTATTCTCTAACTCATAGCCAAAATCTTCATGGGAATCCACTCTTGTTACCAGATGGCTTCTCTGCATATATTAGCATGTTTAACCCTGAAATCTATCAATCCATGGTGAAAAGATTTCCAAACGTAAGCACGTAATGAACCCCTTTTGATTTTAATTTTTTTCAAAAGAAGAATATATTACAACCTTTGGAAAAATGATTTTAAAGGCATTGATAATTATGTTTTATTCATTTTTCTTTAAACCAAAAGTTAAAATATTTTCTCAGATCTGGATGTTTTTTTATTCCTTCGAAATTATTGTCATTTGCATCAACTCTAAACAACTGAAAAAAATAAATGATTGTGTCATTTTTGCTTTCCTCTTATATTCTCATATCAAAATGCACTTACATTTAATCCAAACTGAAAAAAGCATGTTGTAAAGTTTGTAAGCTTTTTGCATGCTTTCAGTGTTTACATATAGTAACATTGCTTGGTACTTAATACCGCTATAATCAATAGCTATTCAAAATAGTATCGTACACTTTTCCCTTATGTTATCTGTTGTGCATGTAGCAAATTAGCCTTTCGATCGATGAGAACAAATATATTTCTAACGCATGCATATACATTTACTAAAGCTGTCACCGACCTGAGATTTGAAAGAATGAGAATGGCATTTTTATTTAAATGTCCTTGATGATTTTTCTTTAATGTCTTTTGACTTTTAAGTAATAAAATTTTAGTTTGAACATATATTATTTTACATTTTGATAAATATTTTTTTTTAACATTCAGTATACACCTACAAGAATCAACTCATTCTTATCTTTCTTATTCCCTCTCTGTTCATATATGTGAAATCGTGAGCACCTTTCTTCAAAATTTCTTTCTCTCTGTTTTATTTGAGTTGATATTTTAAAAAATCAAAATGATAATAACCCTATTGAAAGGCTTTCTTTATTCAATAAAGTGTAACTGTAGACTGTGAGAGATCTGCACGTTTCTGTAGGTTCACCGTGTACCGGGGGCAGACGGGGTAGTGGGAAGGAGCCACAGGATTCACCTTCAGTTGTGGGACACAGCGGGTCAGGAGAGGTGAGGACAATACTCAACTGAACAAAAGGAATTTTACACTTTATTTTCCTGTTATTTCCTGATCATGACAAGGAGCAAAAGGCTGGTGTGACTGGTCTGCAGGGAATGCTCACTCCTCCATGGTACCTGGTCCCATTGGGAGATCTGTGTTTGGTCTGCTCCAATTTTGTATTGCTTTTTTTTCACTTTTTAGCTTGAATACTGTTTTTTATCATCATATTTGTCACAGACAGAATGGTTAGGTCTTCAGAAGGCATTTGAAGATTTTATGTGAAAAATGACATTATTAACTAGATATTATTATTTAGGTAGACTCGAAGAATAAATATTGATATGGTATGAAAATTAGGTCTGAAAGGATTTCTCTCTTGGTAAAAATGAACAGTTTTCAAGTTTGGAAGTCCATTTAAACAATACTTATCTGGAGCAGAATAAACACGGACCTCTTAAAATTGAGGTGGGATCCAGTGGTATGAATGAGTGAGTATCTTCTGCCGACTGGTCGGCCCAGCCTATCGCTTCTTGTCATGATTGGTAAATAACAGAAAAATCCTTCGACAATTCAGTGAAAACTAAGTCTTAACGTGTAAAAAACGTAAGGTCATTGTAGTGACCATAAAACTTTGGAAATGATGATTTAAAAAGAACATGTTGATGTTCTTGAAGCACTAAGGAAGGGTAAGGGTTTTAAAATTTAAAAAGTAACTGACATAATTAGTAAGCACTACAGAGGGGTCAAGGATCCGGAAATTGACAGGATTTGTTAGCAATGAACAAAGAACTAAGAATTTGATATGAAGACTGAGAATTTCAAATCCCTTTTTCACATATTCTATGACCTTATAATTTGCAAGTACAGCATAAACAATACAATAAATTGTTAATTAAATGTAGATTGATAAGTTTCTTTATACTGAAAGGTTGTTGATGTCATAATCATTTCAACTACAGTCAACTTTACGCATTGCATGTGTACCTTTTGTGTCCGGGTATACGTGACTTAACATGCAATTTAATTGTGACCTAGGTGCATAATCCTACCTGTATTCCTAGACATGAGCAATTTTCTTCTTCATCCAGGTTCCGAAGCCTTACAACAGCCTTCTTCAGAGACGCCATGGGTTTTATCCTCCTGTTCGATTTGACCAATGAGCAGTCGTTCCTCAACATCAGAAACTGGTTGACCCAGCTCCAGACCCATGCCTACTGTGAGAACCCGGATATTATTCTCTGTGGAAACAAAGCTGACCTTGAGGACCAGAGGAAGGTCACAGAGGAACGGGCCAGAGAGATGGCTGAGAAACATGGGTTAGAATGTTTTACTTCTCCCCATCAGGTTTATCTTTTCACGTGTTTGTGATCACAAATTTTCACAGAAAATTTGTTCCAGCAGATATAAAGTAGCAAGTTATAATATCCATGTATTTTTTTTTAAAATTCATGGATTGAATGAAAATTGCAATTCCATGACATTATGACCCTGTTCAGTGTTGGAAATAATAGTAAAGTTATAGTTTTATCAGAGTAGTTCTGCTATAAATTAAAAAAAAATTGAAATGCACAAAAAAGGAGAATGACAATAGTAAATTCAAATGAATTTTTGTTTTGTTGAAATTAGGCTTCCATACTTTGAGACTAGCGCTGCCACTGGACAGAATGTAGCTAAGGTAGTAGAATGCCTGCTGGACATGGTCATGTTACGTATGGAACAGTGTGTGGACAAAACACAAAGACCCCATGCACAGAACGGACGACGCCTACACAAAAATGAAATGGACGAGTTCAACAGTGAATCCAAATGTTCATGTTAATCCTAGTGACCTAAGGTCAAAGGTCATTTGATGTGTTAATCATAGTGACCTAAGGTCAGAGGTTATTTATTGTTATTGAACTCTGTTCAAGGTCAGGTGCTCTTAGTCTTTGGTGAGTGTTTTCTCTGTTTGTCCATCTTGCAGCTTCTGTGTTAGTATTGTACTGTTAATTTTAAGAATTTTTTTCAACTTTTGAATGCTAAAGACATGTACCTTAAAGTGTGTATAGTTAATTTGTTTATGGTACCATGTTGTTTAATTGTGATGGATTAAATTTTTGTTAATCTGAAATGTAAGATAAAATGTTGCAAAGTAACTTAAGGTTGTTGAAGTATTGTTGAATGTATATTTTATCTACATTTGCTCATTTAAGGCTGTGTCAGATAATTACATGTATGCATGTAGTTAATATTGGTAATTATTTATGGAAATTTTAACTATTTTTTTAATAGACAGAGAAGAATAATTATTTCAATGATTATCCAAAGAAATGAAATATTTGAAGCTCAGCTCCCTTTTTGCTTGATGTACAGTATGTATTCACATATACAAGAGAAACTTTGAAAGATGTCCTGTTCTGTTTGTCGGAATTAAATGCCTTGATGTGAATTGTTAATTGTTATATTTGTTTAACTTTTTAAAATCATTTATGAATAAATATTTAATTTGTATTAAGTAATTCATGATACATATTAAGTAATAAATGATGCTTTTTTTTCAAAACTACCCTTTCCAATTTAATGTGATGCTATCATGGAAGGTTACTCAAAAGGTGCAATTGAAAGATGAAAATACCCTCAAAAAGTATACATTGTTAAATGGGGTATTTAGATGTTATGTTTATTTCTGCATTTAACGGTTTTTTTCAATAAATATGAACAGATTCAAAATCTGATGAGTTTAAATAATGAATTTAATTTTTGTACACTCTTTATTTAACTACTGTGTTTATTTAAATGTAATTTTTTTTTTCAATTCATGAGAAAAGACTTGTAATGTTTGTAATATTTGACAGATCCTATTTTAACTGGTACACATTCTTATCATAATAATATGTCTTTTGAAATGTCCAAATTTCATAAAACACTTCAGTGCAATATTTTAACAGTAAAATTAATACTGTTTTATTTATAATTTTGAAAAAGATAGGTCGTTGAAGTGAATGAGTCCGCTTTCTTTTATATTAGGATCTAGATTTTTTGATATGAATAGAAAATTGTGTTTTTTATTTATAGAACAGATATTGGTTCTGCAAAGAAAACATTTTTCAAAGCAGAAAAATTATCTTTGTAAAAGAATTTGTTAATTAAAAAAAAAGGTAAGCTGAAGATCAGATACTTCTGTTCTCTTGTTCAGGTAGCTTTTAAATGAATTATTTTGTTTCTTTGTCACTGCTTAAAAATTATCAACGTTTTCTTTGAAATTTCAAAATCCTTTCATATCTCAAAACCCGTACAAAAACATATAAAACATATATACATATAATACAGTGGGTCAAGGAGAATGATCTTTGAAATTTTAAAATCCTTTGAATTTATAAATGTACATTGAAAGATTTATTGATAGAGACGGATTACAAAATTGTCTGTGTCATACTGGTTGAATGCTTAAAATGGCGCTGTGATGATTTGCAATTAAAACTTCTGTTCAAAGAAAACAATTGAAAACTTCATTGCTAGGTGATATACTATAAGTAAGCAAAAAAAAATTGAAATCATTCAGGAGTGTTCTTTCGATGGAATTGCACCATTTATGTATGACTATATAGATGATAACTGAACTTTTAAAATATTTATATATATAAGTAATTAGTTTTCTCATGTATTATAAATTAGAAAAAAAACCTTGTGAAATAATTCTTGTGATCTGTGAATTCCATAATAATTCGTCCACTTTATTATATATTGTGTTTTTTTCATATTTTATTTTCATTAGAAAGAAATCCTATCTCTACAAAGGTTGTGTCTTTTAATTGCAAAATATACACTTTACTAGATATTTCTTTTCAGGTTGAATTAAACATGTATAAAGCGGTTGAAAACTTTTATTTATTATGTTAATATGTACATGTATACAACACGTGTGTCTCTCTTTATCTCAATGTTTCAATAGTTTACTTGACCAAGCAATTTTCCAGAATGTTAAACTTGATGTTTAGATTTTTTTTGGTAAGTTTTGTTGAGTGCATTAATATCTTTATATTTTTATTAGAATATGTATAAATTCTAAATTATTCTTCATTAGACTAAGTTTAAATGCATATTTATTGGTATATCAGGTATTAGGGAAAAGTAATACTATATAAATGTTAAATGTAAAAAATTGGTGATCATAAAGTAGTATAAGATATTTTAAGTTTGTACGTATACTATACATGTATATGATTCTTATTTGAATCCCTTCCGCATTGTTTATTTATATTTTTCTTCCTTATCCATTCCATTCCATTTTATACATGAATTCTGTTTACATATTTCTTTTTTTTACATTCTTTATAGAGACTGAAAAGTTTTTAACTATATATATTCTATATATTGGTTGAATTATTAATTCTTTATAGTATAGAATATACTATTCTGTAATTATTTTTGCTTTTGATCACAAAAAAAAACGTAAAATATAACCTAAAAATATTACCTGTACAGTCGCTTTATTTTCTTTAACAAAGTGAATCTCTCAAATACCGTGGAATCATTTAATTAAGCAAATGAATATAAATGAATATTAAGCCTCGTGTGATGTAATTTTTAGCTCACCTGAGCCGAAGGCTCAAGTGAGCTTTTCTGATCAAAATTTGTCCGTTGTCTGTCGTTGTCGTTGTAGTCGTTGTAGTCGTTGTTGTCGTTGTTGTCGTCGTCGTCGTAAACTTTTCACATTTTCATCTTCTTCTCAAGAACCACTGGGCCATTTTCAACCAAACTTGCTACAAAGTATCCTTGGGTAAAGGGGATTCAAGTTTGTTCAAATGAAGGGCCACGCCCTTTTCCAAGGGGAGATAATCATGAATTTGTTAAAAATTAATGGCATTTTTAAAAAATCTTCTTCTCCAGAACCGCTGGGCCAGGAAAAAAACTCATGTGGAATCATCCTCAGGTAGTGTTTCAAGTTTGTTGAAACCAGCAAGGGTGGGGAAAAATGGCCGACCCAAGTTTTACTTAGGAATATATAGGAAAAATCTTTGAAAATCTTCTTCTCCAGAACCAGTGGGCCAGGAAAGATGAAACTCATGTGGAATCATCCTCAGGTAGTGTAGATTCAAGTTTGTTCAAATCATGACCCCCGGGGCAAGGGTGGGGCCAAAATGGCCGACCCAAGTTTGACATAGGAATATATAGGAAAAATCTTTAAAAATCTTCTTCTCCAGAACCAGTGGGCCAGTAAAGATGAAACTCATGTGGAATCATCCTCAGGTAGTGTAGATTCAAGTTTGTTCAAATCATAACCCCCGGGGCAAGGGTGGGGCCAAAAATGGCCGACCCAAGTTTTACATAGGAATATATAGGAAAAATCTTTAAAAATCTTCTTCTCCAGAACCAGTGGGCCAGGAAAGATGAAACTCATATGGAATCATCCTCAGGTAGTGTTGATTCAAGTTTATACAAATCATGACCCCCGGGGCAAGGGTGGGGCCAAAATGGCCAACCCAAGTTTTACATAGGAATATATAGGAAAAATCTTTGAAAATCTTCTTCTCCAGAACCAGTGGGCCAGGAAAGATGAAACTCATATGGAATCATCCTCAGGTAGTGTAGATTCAAGTTTGCTAATCATGAATGGGCAAGGGTGGGATTAAAATGGCTGACCCAAGTTTTACATAGGAATATATAGGAAATTTTTTTAAAAATCTTCTTCTCCAGAACCAGTGGGCCAGGGAAGATGAAACTCATTTGGAATTATCCTCAGGTAGTGTAGATTCAAGTTTTGTTCAAATCATGACCCCCGGGGCAAGGGTGGGGCCAAAATGGCCGACCCAAGTTTTACATAGGAATATATAGGAAATTTTTTTTAAAAATCTTCTTCTCCAGAACCAGTGGGCCAGGAAAGATGAAACTCATGTGGAATTATCCTCAGGTAGTGTAGATTCAAGTTTTGTTCAAATCATGACCCCCGGGGCAAAGGTGAGGCCAAAATGGCCGACCCAAGTTTTACATAGGAATATATAGGAAATATCCTTCTCAATTACCACTGGGCCAGGAAAGATGAAACTCATTTGGTATCATCTTCAGGTAGTGTAGATATAAGTTTGCTCAAATTACCCCCGGCCCTGGGGCTAAAAAAAATGGCCGTAAAATATAACCCAAATTTTACATAGGGATATATAGGGAAACCTTTTAAAATCTTCTTTTCAAGTACTTCAAAGCTATGATTAGTGATATTTATATGGAATCATAGGTAGTGTAGATCTAGTTTGTTCAAATGATGAACGCCAAATATTAAGTCGATGTGCTCAGGTGAGCGCTGTGGCCCCTGGGCCTCTTGTTTTCTGTTTTGACAGCATAATCCTTTTAAATGTATATGTATGTTATGAATTTATCTCAAATTTTCTAAGTGAAGTCCAACTGTCTTCACATACTGTAGATCTTCCGCGGATGTCCAGATATTTAGTGCTGTGTAATTAAGCTTTTAACGGATCACCTGTTGTTATTTACATGTTATAAAAGGGTAGCGTGAATATATACAGTGTATCAATATGTTCTCTTACATATTTTGCAATAAATCTCATTCTATATTTTCTTCACGGAGTTATGTCCTGATTTTCTGCATAACATTTCGACGATTATTTGAATGGACAACAACTAAACCAAGGGTCTGATGAAAAAAAATGAAAGAATGTACAAGAAACATTGTGAAGTTGGGCCTTGGAGGGGACGAATTGCTAACACATACTTAGTAATAATAATAACAAGTAATTAGTTTTTTGGCCCACTTTCAACACCAAATGTTATAAATAAGGTTAAATACTTAAAATAATTTGTTTTGATAATAAGTTGCATTGTTTAAAAAAATGATCGGGTACGGGATGATGTAACAATAATAAAATTAATGCCTGGCGAGAAAAAGCCGAGACAGGTTGAAAGTTTATTAGCAAAGAAGATAACATTTTGTGTGATCTGCAAAAATATCCCTCGAAACATATTGGTTTAAATGTCCATGATTTGGTTTTTACATAGCTGAAATATAATTTAATAAAACAATTCATTAAAGTTTTTTTTCATTTAGTTTGAAAGACCTTGTGAGATTGAAACATTTATGTCCGTTTTTTCTAGGGGGTACTAAAACATAGAAATGTTTCCAAAAATTAACACCTTAAATATTTAATGCATAGACGCTTGATACGTGTACATGTCACAGTACATTATAGAATAGAAGATTGGAATTGATTTCGCTCGAGAACTAAACTGAACCAAAATTTATATTAATCAAAATTTTAATACATCAGCAGATGAAACGAAACTGACAAAATAAATGGTTGTTTGCATGGAAAAAAAAATAACGCCCCATTCCAGGCTCGAACCAAAAAACTTTTCACATCAAGTGCACTGAACAGGTTATTCAACTTACTGAGCTATCACCCTACTCATATACCGACGACTTTAAAAGGACAAAGAAGCACCACATTCACACATTTGGATTTTTTGTGGAAAAGTTCATTTTTGGAGGTCTCTGGGTCTTCTCTCCATTTTTTAAAAATGTGTATTTGTTTCTTTGAATTAGAATACACACAAATAATTTTTCAAAATCTCCAAAAGGTAAAAACATGTTTCAAAATGTACAATTTTGTACCAAATGTCTGATCTGGCCAATTTTCAAGCTATCTTTTAGGAAATCAACGCTCAGTTTCGGGAAAATATTTTACGTTCCTGTCGCACAGGAACACGATTAATAAAATGAATGTTAAAATTTCATGTGACATGTCAATAAAATTTTCACTTTTCAATTACGCCCAGATTCCTGCCGAATGCCAATCAAAAGCGCCCTCGTTCTTTATAACATTTTGTTAAAAGATCAACAA